GACAATCAAGCGGTTATTGCGATAGCGGTGAACCCTATACATCATGCGAGGATTAAACATATGGAAGTCAAAAACCACTACATACGTGAAAGCGTAGACAATGGGACTATTCGACTCATATATTGTCCGACCGATTTGATGATAGCGGATGTTTTGACGAAAGCTCTTCCTGCGCCTCAACATTGGAAACTGTTGGAGTTGTTGGGGATGAGACGACTCTCGGAACTAAGAGATGGTCAAAAGGACAAAGCTCACCTCGCGATATATCCGATCGATGATGATGAATAAAAGTGATGAACTATTTCGTGTGTTTTGACGTTTACTGTCTTTGACATTTTGAGTTCATGATCGCAGCTGGGTTCGAGTCCCTCGCACGCACGGCGCCATGGTGGCCTGTGATCAATCACTAAGAATATTCTATAAAATTGGATGACAACTTACCCGATGCTGATGTCATGGGGGAGTGACAGAGTATCTGGCTGGTCCAGAACCTGTGTTCGATGAATCAACATCGAATTGTCATTTAATTGTTTTAACACTGAATAAATGTATAATTGGTTTATTTAATACATTATCTTACGTATTTACATTCAATCGCCAATGTGTATGCGGTCGCAGTCTGTAGAGAATGCGGAGCGTACAACATTGGAAAAGAGGCATAGCGCCGGGTCGCGCATGTAGCCGGAGATTGAATTGGTAAAAAGGTATTAGAATACTTTATTGAATAAAACACTATATACACACTTTGGTGGTGTTGTAGTTTAGAGAGTATCTGCTTGCTATCTGAAACATGGGGGTGTTTCAGATATGAGGCAATGCCCTATAAATACAGGACATCACAGTGTTAATAAAGAATAATATTCTCGCTACGAAATGAGTGCTATACGCACCTGTGACCCTACGCAGATCCTCTGACACCTTAAAGGGGTCGTCAAAGCAGGGCTGGAAGCTGCCGATAACCCGGGCGTCATCAGCATTATCATACTTCGAAACCATCGCTAGATAGCTGGAGGTACTCGCTCAGCCTCAAGACGTCGATTGAAGCTTCGATCGATACCACCGAATAGCTGTGTTGCAGGTTAGTTGTGGTATAAGTTATCGTAAGGTTCACAAAACACCATCTATTATTATTGACAGGTTTTGACTGCAGTTGTCCTTGCGTAGTTTTCCTGAATGTTGCGTTTTCCCATTTCAGGAATGCCATCAATTCAAACTGACAGGTTCTTATGCAGCGGTGAGTTTCGATGTACTGTTCAGAGATATCCCAGGCTCTCTCTTGTCAATTGCAGCAAGAAAGTATCATTTATTAATAAAGAGAGCTTTGATTTTCTTTGTGTTGGTTTGCTTTTGTTGCATGAGCATGATGGGGGTGCTTTTGTCGTTACACTGGGGTGCTTCTGTCGATACACCGGGGTGCTTTTGTCGATACACCGGGGTGCTTTTGTCGTTACACCGGGGTGCTTTAAGCTGGAAATCGAAAAGAGCATACTAACCACCGTACTCCAAATGATTTTTTGAAACAAGCTGATTCCCAATTCTGTGTGGCTGAGTATTTCAATTCTTCACCAGACAGTAGACCCACGTTCACTGTCGAAATCTGCAATCGTACGACACCGGTCAAGAAATGGATGGAACATAAGATTGATATGGGGGCTGTCTTTAAATTCTTTGACTACAACCTGAATTGGCAAGGAGAACACCCATCCAAGATGGTTGGTGCAAGCGTCGTGGTCAGATTTGCAGACGAGACAACGTTGCGCGGGGTTGTGTCAGTGGCAATGACCAAGGGTCGGGCATTGAAATTCGTGTTTGGCTTTCAAATTTCAAAATGCTCTCCTTCCAATTTTGGCTGGGAGCATGTTTACCCTGCTGGATACTGGGGGCTTAACGTGGAGAATTAGCGGTTGTTGGAATAAACAAGATAATTCGTCGAATCGTGGCTCTTCTTTGAACCTCTGTGTGTCCTTCACCGGGAGTGCGTATACTGCACTTAAGTAAGATAGGATTTGAACGGCTTGACAGATGCTTGACATATGTTGATCAGAAGAATCAGATTTAATAAACGCAACGTCAAAATGCTTGTCCATCTTGACAGTCTCGAAAGAGGCAAGAACAATGCGGTCAATGTGGATCAGTGACTCTTCCAGGACAAGAACAGTAGTTTGGTAAAAATCATTGCGCCCAACAGATTGACGTATTCTTGGATAGTAGCTATATCTAAAGTCACAAGTGGCAGGGATGAGTGCTGGTACATAGCCGTCCATATGCACAAGCGATCCCTGAGAAGTGCGAGGAGAGTTGGGGTTATTGATATCCTGGAAGCGGGATAGAGCATCCGTAAGGCTTGTGATTGTTTGGTTAGAACTTGGTGTTGCCGATCGATCTAGCTCACCGATAAAGGCATGCCAGAGCACACTCTCTTTTGGTTTGTTGATGGAAGTTCGCATGATCAAAAAACACAGCAGCGTTTCCGGCAACATAACCATCGCAATCAACAGTAAAAGTCTTGTTCGGTGTGTCTGTTTCGAGCCACTGCACTGAAGAGACGCTGATCCCTCCGCAGAGAACAAGTAGCTCTACACTGTGCTGCATTACGGCTCGACTGTAGCAGAGTGTCTGCAATCTGGAGTTCATTGGTGCAAATTTGTTCAATTAAAGCGAGAAAACAGACTATCCAATTGCACTAATGAATTGTAAGTGCCTCGTTTGGGAACTATTCGCTGAACAGATTTAATACAGTTGCCAATACTGACAAACCCCTGCCGAGCTTGCCACCGAGTGAAGTCGAAAGTTTGGACGTAAGAGTGCAAGAACTCCAAGCTGAGAAGAAGCTCCTGGAAGCAACTATTGAGGCCAAGGCCAAAGCTGTGGCCAAAAGAGAATGGGAGGCCGATCAGCTCGTCGAAGCGCATGCCAAACTCTATCGAATTCAGCAGAGGGCTGCAGCAAAGGAAGGCTTTCCCTTCAAGTTTCCTGCTGACAGCACTCCTTTGAAAGACCTCCAGATCGCCTACCGCTATGTACCAACCAGTGTCCTCCCTACTGATCAAGTGGAGCTCTTGGATCAGGCTGTTGAAAAAGGCGACATTGCTACACTCATTGACACCTTCCGTGAACTCGCTAATAGACCTGAAAATATTGCCGACATGCTTTTGAAAGCTCTTCAGAACAAGGCTTCCGAACATGAAGAGTCTCCTAACGCGTATTTGAATGACACAATGGTAAATTGGTTTTTAATTGGGGCCACCCAACCTTTTTTTTGATTAAATTGAAAATGAGTCGGATAAACATTGTCTTTCATAGCGCTACGACACACAGAAAGCTTTGGCTATCGGAATCATGTGGCATCTTGTGTAAAAAAAAACTGTTGCAAAATAAAGTGGAAGTTATCAAAAAACTGGAGTTGAGACAAATTGCAACAACAGCACAAGCTGTAAAAAAGCGTCATTTCACAACTGAAATAGAACCAATTGAACGCAGAAAATGATTAACAAGCATCTTTTATCATTGAACATGGGCCGTACAGTGGTGCGACAAGATGGCCGAAAGCATGGATGCACAATCGGTATAACAGGAACAAAAGCACAGTATTAAGCCGCGACATCCGAGGGCTTTGCCAAACACAGGCACTAAACCACAAACTGAGCTTCGCGTCACTTGTCACTTTGAATCCTGTCATCGAAAATAATGTTCTAAAAGAATGTCTCTTTTTGATAATCTCTTATTTTTAGTTCTAAATGGTGCATTTGCTGTTTACACTTGTAAGATTCGTCGCAAGAAGTAAGGTTTTTTAACCCCACAATCAGCCACAGGCAGAAATGTCTGTTAATGATTATAAACACTATTTTCGCCCGTGATAGTATGGGGATTTAGCTCAGATGGCAGAGCGCTCGCTTTGCATGCGAGAGGCAGGGGGATCGATGCCCCCAATCTCCAGTTTTTATTTTCACAACAATTAGACATCATTAGTTATAGATCTAATATAGTTCTTTATTCAATTAAGCTTGCAACTCAGGCAGTTTTGTAACTGCATTAGAGCCCGTCGAATCCAGCGATTCAATATTGTGCTGAATCCCTGAGGAGAACATGGCCATATTAAATCCACCACCACTGTATTTCTTGTTTGTGAAATTCAGATTGGGTTTAATTATGGGCATCCCTGCTAGCCGGTGGTGATGCTTTGGATTGAACAGTTGGGGATCCATCATCGTGACACCAATGGCTTGATCGCCAAAAAGGCCAACGAGCCCTCCCATACGTTCACTGACAACTCCGCCTGGATGTTGACTACTAGAATGTTCATATCTTTGCTTCCGTAGTCTGTCTTCGCGTTCCTTCTTTTTTTGCTCGTAGTATTTCTTTTTCAACTCTTGTTGATCTCGTGTCAGGCGATCGATTTCGAATTTGTATTCATTTACTTGGGAATGATACATGTTAAGCTCAGATGCGAGTGCCTGTGTTGATGAAATTTGAGTTGAACTGAGTTCAGCAAGTGATTTTTTTTCTTTCTTATGCGAACCTTGCATTCTCTCATTTTGACTCGGACTGCATCTTTAACGACTCTTAACTCTTCAACTACTTCGGGTCCAGGCTGTCTTTGCAATACATCCTTCACTTCTCGGTAGAGTTTCTCTTTTTGGTTGATTACGAGCTCCTTTTCTAGAACCTCCTCCGTTTTGGCAATAAGCCGCTTTTGAAGTGTTTGAATCTTTGTAATCAGTTCATAAGTGCTTGGATCAGAGCCAGATAGCTTCCTCCATCGATGAATATTCATTGGAGACTCAAGTTCCTCTAATTTGCAAAGATGGGGACAAAGAAAAAAAAGAAGGGGAAGTTGGCACTCTCTCTTCACAAAAAACACAAATATTTTCTTTTTTTTACCTTCCAACACGCGAACCCTCGTTTTTTCTCTCAGAATCTCGCGTTGGAGCTTAAACAACTCGTTCTTGAGTCCTTCCACATTCTGAGTTTCAGTTTGAAGAATCGCCTTTTCACGGCGCAGTTTTTTGATTTCAAGACGCAACACTCGAATGTCTTCGAGACGTTCACGATATTGGATTTCGCCCTTGTTTAAAGTGGAAGCTTGGATTTTGATTTTTTCGTAAAGGAGGGAGATTTCATCGTTTCGGCGGATGAGTTGTGTTCCAATGATATCCTTAAGAAGAAAAAAAGAAAAGAAAAGAAAACAGAGGTGTTAGCATGTTGGCCTGAAGAGACATAATGATACATACTCTTTCTTGAACAATGATATCGTATTCCTTCTTTTGCTTTACACGGTCTGCGTCTGCCTCATCAATAATGTGCTTTAGTTTATTTTCTTCTGCCTTTTGGTTGAGGAGAGTTTGGTCCAAGTCTGCGATCTGCTGCTTCATTTTATCAATCGTGGCAGAGAGCGCCTCTTTATCTTTATCTAGTTTTGCATGTTCCAAATTCTCTTTTGCAAGAGCTGTTGTTTTTTTTTTGTCAAGTCAGTCTTTTTTTTTTTTGTTGAAGGTTGGTTTTATCCTTATTACCAGCTTCCTTATTGCCAATTTCTTCCTTCAATTGCTCAATCTGATGTGTCATGATTTTGAGTTTTCTTTTCATCTCGTTGATTTCGTCTTGGGATTCAATCAGATTTTTGGAATACAGGTTTCTATCTGCTCGCACATTTTCATAAAGCGACTGACCAAAAACAAAAAAGAAAATAGACAAAAGTTATTACTAGAGCGAGCAATATTTGAAAAAAGATGGTACTTCTCACTTGTTGTTCCTTGAGTTTTCGCTCAAATTCATCCATCTTTTTCCTCGCATCATACAACATGATGTCCTTGATTTTCACATCTTCATCTTTGGAGACAAGTTCTGCGGTTACTTTAGAGGCTTCGTTTACATGTCGATCTCTGTCTTTTTCCAAGGAATAGATGAGCTAAATAGGTATTAGTTTCAAACAAAAAAAAAGAGATGTCGACGAAAAAAAGACCTTTCTCATTTTGGACGCTTCTTCCTTATAGTTGCTAATTTCTTGCTCCAAATTTCTTTTTGTTTGATCTGCGAGTTTCATTGAATTGATTTGTTTTTGAGTAGCGCCAGTGGCACGAACAAAGTTTTTTTGAGCAATGTCGCGTTCGCGGCCCAGACTTTCGATTTCCTTTTTGTTGGATTCGATTTGTTTCTTCATGGTGTCGCGCTCGTATGTCACATGCAGGTTTTGACCCTGAAAGCCAATAATTATCTGTTATTGCGGACAAACACACAGAAAAAAAAGTGCCATACCCTTAAATTGTCTCGATCAACTTCGGCTTCCATTTTGGCCTCCTCCATCATTTTGATGCGCTTGGTCAAACCATCCTTGAGACGAACCATAGCTTTAAACTCTTCCTTGTACTTTGTCAATTCAGTTTCCCATGTTTTCAAGTCCATAAATTGATCTTGGTTCTCAGATTTCAGCCTTGTTAAATCAATATGCTGCTGATCGTACTCTGTTTGTAGTTTGTTGTATTTGGCAAACAGTTTGTCCTTTTCCATCGTCTCTTTTTCTGCTTTCAATTTATCTTCCTTGACCATTGTTTCTAAGCGAGATATAACTTCTTTTAATGATTTGGTTTCGGAAATTTTCATTGAAATGTCGTGGTCGCGTTTGGTCAAGGTGTCTGTGAGGGATTTCACGGTTGCATCCAATTTATCTCGGGCTTTCGCGGTTCGATCCTCGTCTGCCTTCTTTTGAGCAAGGAGTTCCTTTATGGAGGCCAAGTTCTTTTCTGTTGTCTGTTTCTCGTGATTCAGGGTTGTAAGTTTGTTTGTGAGGTCCGTAATTTCCGACCGAAGGGTGGCGACATTGGTGAGCAGTTGATCGTTTTGGTTTGCGAGAAATCCTTTTTCCTATATTAATGTATGGGTTGTGGATTTTTTAGCAACCGCGTGTCTTTCAAAAGCAAAGAATAAAATAACCAACCTTGGTCAAATTGCTGATTTGCATTTCTTGCTCCATTTGTAATCCCATCATCTTATCAAGGCCTGTATCCGCGGGTGCGTAATCGTCATCATAGTCTCCATCTCCATCGGCACCGCCTTCACTGTTGCTACCCATTCCTCCATGCCGCATCTTGTTGATTTCAATTTTGAGTCGACCTATAGCATCTTTCGCTTTCTGCTCTTTTTCTCCAGCTGCTTCGACCATCTTCCAAGCCCGTTTTACTTCCTTCTTTAAACTGGCAATGGTGCTACGATCATTTTGAGAGAGCTTCAATGCAGCCTGAACTTTAACAGAATTGGACATCATTTGTCCAGTCACGTCTTTGCATTTATTGAGCAGCTCCTGCTCATTCTTTCGCCCTTGCATGAACAATTTCTGCAACTTTTCATATTCCGACTTGACCAAGAGTAGCAGCTCTCTATCTCGCATTGCGCCCTCCACTTCGTTCAGTTGATCACTTTCTTCGTTGCCGATCTGCGCAAGTGTTTTGAGGGTCATTTGTATTTCAGACATTGTTTCTTCGGTGACTGGAATCAAGTCCGCCGTGAAGTCCACGTTCACATTCGCCAGCAGCGACGCGTTCCTCGACGCTGCTGCTGCGTTGACGTTGATGCTGCTCGAGCTGAGGGACGCGCCGAGCCCGGGCGGCGGCAGCGGGACGCCCAGGGAGTTTGCGGGCTGCTCTGCGGGGTCGGCGTCGCTGGCGTCCCCGAGCGCGTCCGCGTCCGAGTTTCTGCGCGACTTTTTCTTTTTCTTCTTTTCTTTTTCTTTTTCTTTTTCCTTTTCCGCGTCGAGCTGCTCGTGCGACGCGCGCAGCACCTGGCTGAGCAGCGCCGCCGCCGTTTCTTCGCCGTCCGCCGCATTCGGACTCGGCGCGCGCTCGTCGTCGCTGTCGGCCGCCGGTGGCGCGATCGATCCGCGCTGCGAGGACATGAGTGGTAATTGTCAACAAATTTAATTTCTTCTTTACACTCCCTGCGCGATTTCTTGCATGTCGATTTCAGCTGCGTCGGCATCAAGAAGGGGCGCTGCCACCTGGTTTTTTGCTTCTGATAGAGTCTTGGAAGCCGTGAACCGCTTTTCTACCAAATCCATATACGGCTCTTCTGAGCTCGTTTCTTGCTGGTCTAACTCTACAGTACCTAGGGAGTCAGAGATTACTCCTGCCTCCTCTGGAGCCTCATTCTCTTCACATGCATTCTCCTGGCGGTGAGAAAGATTCCACAAGTCGACAGCTCGCTGCTCTACGGCATTCCAATCAAATCCCTTTCGCTTTCCTTGCTTTCCACCATCGCCCCAACTATTCATGTGGATCCCATCCACCATCACAGGCTCTTCGTCTTTTCCATTCAAAGGCCCACTGAACTCTTTAAAATACTTTTCTGAAACGCGTCTTACAAACTGAACAAACTGTAAAGCTCCTTGAACCCAAACAACTCCTTCATCTGAGCCAGGCATAGGTACAAGCACAAAATTCGCCAACACGCCGAAAGCGATGGCATCCAGAACAGTTGGCTCACTGGTGCCCATAAAATATTCATCCCCATTCAGTAATGCTTCCAACGCGCATAGACGTGCGTGCATCAATTCCAAAATATCATCTCGAGAGTGCTGCAAGAGTCCAACTGCCTCCAATGTCTCCAACGCACGCTGTTTTGTTTTTCGTCGCTGGATCATGGTTTGGGGAATAGAGAGCCCAGAATGTTTGTAAAGTTGGTGTGTTATATGCGAAGAGTTGAGTGGGTGGGTGAAACGAAGGTATGTGAGGCTACAAGAAAGCTGGTCCAAGAGGCAGTGATATGCTTCGACTGCCCCCAATTCAACGGAATCCTCTAAAGTTGTGTTGAGGTTTTTCCCAGCTCGATTGTTCTTTAGAATCCACGCGATTGCAATATGGACATCGCTGATTTTCGTGTCGTTAAAGGAAAGTAGAGTGGGGCGAATTCCCTTTGGAGGGCATAGTGGGGAGATGTGGGTTTCG